AATATATTTTTTTGCATAATTCCCAAATTATTCAGTTTTACAATCCTTCCTCTTCTTTTTTTTGCATCATTGCCAAACTATTCAATTTTATAATCCATTTTTCATCTTTTTCTTACTTTCAGAAGTGAAGAACTAATTTTTTTATAGTATGTATTTGTCTTTCTCAACAAATATCGCTTTTAAATATTGAATTATTAACATTTTAATTTTTCATAAATCTAATGAGAAAGTGCATTATAATAAGAAAGTAGTTTATGTTTAATGATGGAAGAAGTTTTTTTATATTATCCATTAGGATGGAATAAATTTGTTTGGTTCAACTCATTTAGATTCATTAGCCATTAACTTGAATTGACTTTAATGTGTTATTTTTAAGTTCAACATTGGTTTAACTAAAGTTCATGAACTTTCGATTGAGATAACAAGTTTAAATTTACCTTAGTCATCATCTTGATTGATAATCATTTATATATATTTAAATTGATTTATATTGAAGTACTACTTTTAATATACATTATATGAATATAATATATACAATAATTATAATTATTTTCAAAAATGTGTATATATATTATTTTTAAACATAGATGAGATTTTATATTTAATATGAGTGTATATAAATATTCTTCACATAATTCGGGGTGTAATATGTATGAAATGACAGTATAAATATTTATAGACAACCAGTGTATCATTTACCTTTTATTTGATTTTTTTTTCAAGAGTCAGTGATGATTGAAAATAAATGGTGATTGATGCAACGATTGTGTAAAAAACTCTTACACTGTTAATATATATACCATTTTCTCTATTAATATATGTTGATTATCAGTGTTACATGTGTACCATGTTTATTCTATATTTATACCATGCAACTTCTGGTATTTTCTAGTATATTATTGTAATTACTGACAGGTCAAACTTGCATAATTGGCAAACTATTCAATTTTTTAATATTTTTTTTTCATAATTGCCTAATTATTCAATTTTATAATCTATGTTTTTGTGCATAATTGCCAAAGTATTAAATTTATAATCCATTTTTCATCTTTTCCTTTCTATCAAATGTAAATAACTATTTTTTAAATGCATTTGTCTCTCTTAACAATTATCGCATTAAATATCAAATTAATGATATTTTAATTTTTCATTTATCTAATGAGAAAGTACATATATAATAAGAAAGTAGTTTATGTATTAATGATTGATTGAGATAATAAGTTTAAATTTACCTTGATCATCATCTTGATTAATAATCATTTTTATATATTTAAATTGATTTATATGGAAGTGTTAATTTTAATATACATTATATGAATATAATATACAATAATTACAAATTATTATCCAAAATGTGTACATATATTATTTTTAAATATACTTGAGATTTTACATTTAATATTAGTATATATAAATATTGTTCACATAATTTGGGGTGTAATATGTATTCACTAATAGTATAAATTTTTATGGACAATCATTGCATAATTCACTCTTTATTTGGAGTACCTTTTTTTTTATGAGTCAATGATGATTGAACATAAATTGTGGATGATTCAATGACTGTGTAAAAAATGCTTACACTGTCACTATATATATCATTTTCTCTATAAATATATGTAGATTATGAGCCTTACATGTGTAATATGTTTGTTCTATATTCATTGGATGCTACTTCTAGTATTTTCTTATATCTTATAGTAATTATGACTCCTCAAACTTGCATAATTTGCAAAGTATTCAATTTTAATATATATTTTTGCATAAATGCCAACTTATTCAATTTTATAATATTTTTTTTCATAATTGCCAAACTATTCAATTTTATAATCCATTTTTCATATTTTTCATATTTTTCTTAATAACAAAAGTAAACAACTATTTTTTTTAATATGTATTTGTCTCTCAACAAGTGTCGCTTTAAATATCGAATTATTGACATTTTAATTTTTCATTAATCTTATGAGAAAGTGTACATATAACAAGAAAGTATTTTGTGTATTTACGATAGAATAATATTTTTCTATTATCCATTAGGATGGAATAAATTAGTTTGGCTCAACTCAGCTAGACTCATTAACGATTGACTCGAATTGACTTTAATGTATTATTTTTAAGTTCTGCATCGGTTTAATTTAAGTTCATGAACTTTCGATTTAGATAACAAGTTTAAATATACTTTAATCATCATCTTGATTGATAATCATTTATATATATTTAAATTGATTTATGTGGAAGTATTAGTTTTAATATACTTATATGAATATAATATAAACAATAATTATAAATTATTTTCTAAAATATGTATATATATATATATATATATTATTTTTAGATTTTAGATTTAATATGAGTAGATATAAATATTGTTCACATAATTTAGGGTGTAATATGTATGCACTTACTCTATAAATATTTATAGACAATCAATGCATCATTTACCCTTTATTTGGATTTTTTTAAGGGTCAATGATGTTAGAATATAAATGGCAGATGATATAATGACTGTGTAAAAAACTCTTACACTGTCAATATATACATCATTTTCTATATATAAATATATGTAAATATAATCAGATGATGAATCTAATGAATGAAGTTCATTTGACTCAATCTATATTTGATTAGCTTAATTTTTAACACAAGTAGAACTCAATTATCTTTGAACTAGGTTTATTGAATGAACACCAACGTAGTTTCTAACGAATATTGAGTTGATTTTATTTTAATAACATTATCATCAATATATCATTTATAATTTATGTATTAATTATCATCAGCTTTTACATATAAATAATAAACATAAATAAGAATTGCATCATGAAATATTTTCAAAAAAAAATTGAGTACCATATATTATTTCTTATTTATATTACATTAATGGGTTTGACCACGTTGTACCAAAATTATGGTCTTTTCAAATGTGAAGCCTTCAAGCCAATAAAGAATGCTTAGTGTGAAAGAAATAGTTTATGGACAAGCGTGCCCGAATGTGATCAGCTGTCTCATTTTTCATGTCTCATTGTGTCCCAATGTAATGACAAAGTGCTATCTACTTGAAAATAAAAATATGAAAACATAAAATAACATATTTAAGTAATTTAGTGGGATATGATTAAGCTTGGTACATAATTGTCGCGACCCGATTTTCGGTTGGAAGACCGGCCCTGCGACTTTGGGAGAGGCGAACTCGATTTCTACCTCTTCCAATTGATTTGGAGTCGCCACTACGTTTTTTGCGGTTAAAACGTAGAAAACTCTAAACATGCCCGATTAAGATAATTTGGTCTTTAATCAGAGATTCTGAACTCGGGAGTCGATTACGGATCGGGGAAGGTATTAGCATCCTGTCCGCCCGTATTAAAACGGTACCCTCGCTAATAACATGGACTTTTATACCCTTAAAATTATTTATTAAAATTCAGTAAATAAAAACAAAATGTTTTATTTTTTATTGTTGTGCCTGACAAGAATTCAACTTGCTCCTACGTATCCCTAGCTGCAATAGGGAAATCAAGGCTACGTAGTTCTGGTTTGAAAATTAATTGGTGTTGGTTTAGTTTGTTTGAAAAGTTGATGTAAATTGTATTCTCTTTAAGAAAAGATGAAGCAGCAGAAACTAATGTCCGCACCATATCAAATCTTTAAAGAGATTTTGAAAGTAATTAAACTACTGTGTTGAAATTTATTTATCTTTAAGATATATATTATTTTTGAAATAATTGAAATGAGTTGTTTGAAATTTATTTATTTTTAAGATAGATGAAGTAGCAAGACTAATGCCCGCGCCGCATCAAATCTCAAGGAATATTTTGAAGTGGTTTAAAATATATTATTGAAATTTATTCACCTTTAAGATAGATGAAGTAGCAAGACTAATGCCCGCGCCGCATCATATCTTAAAGAGATTTGAAATAGTTTTAAAATATATTATTGAAATTATTCACCTTTAAGATAGATGAAGTAGCAAGACTAATGCCCGCGCCGCATCATATCTTAAAGAGATTTGAAATAGTTTTAAAATATATTATTGAAATTTATTCACCTTTAAGATAGATGAAGTAGCAAGACTAATGTCCGCGCCGCATCATATCTTAAAGAGATTTTGAAATAGTTTTAGAATATATTATTGAAATTATTCACCTTTAAGATAGATGAAGTAGCAAGACTAATGCCCGCGCCGCATCATATCTTAAAGAGATTTGAAATAGTTTTAAAATATATTATTGAAATTTATTCACCTTTAAGATAGATGAAGTAGCAAGACTAATGTCCGCGCCGCATCATATCTTAAAGAGATTTTGAAATAGTTTTAGAATATATCGTTGAAATTTATTCATTTTTAAGATAGATGAAGCAGCAAGAACTAATGCCCGCACCGCATCAAATCTTAAAGATATTTTGAAATAGTTTTAGAATATATCGTTGAAATTTATTCATCTTTAAGATAGATGAAGCAGCAAGAACTAATGCCCGCACCGCATCAAGTCTTAAAGAGATTTTGAAATAGTTTTAGAATATATCGTTGAAATTTATTCATCTTTAAGATAGATGAAACAGCAAGAACTAATGGCCGCACCGCATCAAATCTTAAAGAGATTTTGAAATGGTTTTAGAATATATCGTTGAAATTTATTAATCTTTAATATAGATGAAGCAGCAAGAACTAATGCCCGCACCGCATCAAATCTTAAAGAGATTTTGAAATAATTTGAAATATAATTGAAATTTTTATCAGGTACATTTTATTAAAACAAATATTAATGTAAAAAATGTTAGAATAACAATACCCAAATATGAAATAAAAATTACTATAACATAAAACAAAAGGTAAAAGTTAAATAAAAAAAGAAAGAAAAGCAAAGGGAAGGGGAATACTTAAGTGGTCATCCTTGTTGACCCTAGAGAAATAGAAATGAGAATTGAAGTCCTTAAAGGCATCACCATCTTTTCATTTTCTTCAAATCTCAGGCAACATCAACTCAATCCGGCGAAACCACGATTTCAGCGGCGGTTTGCGGTGGTTCTTGACTGAGAACGCTCCCAACAGCATGGGATCCTCATCCCGGCGCAGTGTACCAAAAGGGAATCAAATCCCTAAATTATCTCCTTCATCCTCTTCTTTTCCGGCAGCGGCGGCAACAAAAGGGACGACGGCAAGTCACTGGTAATCCGGCGGCTACATCTCTTCTCCTCTATCTCGTTTCTCCTTAGCGACGGTGGTGCTCTCTCTGGTGACGGTTTCGGTAGCGACGACAACGCCAGGCAGTAGCGGAGGTTGTGACGAAAGGCAGCGACGACGACTAGGAAAGCCACTAATGGCGATGATGGCGAGTTATCTTTCTCCAATTATGTTATGCGACCCTTGATGCGGTGATTTCCAACCTGAATTGAATCTAAACCGTGAAGGTGGAAGGAAGCTACCCCAATCGAACTCGCTCGGCAAGAACCACCCATTGTAATGGTAGTTCGAAAGGTATGTTACCACCCCTTTTCGTTTACCCTCCTTTATTTTGACATCTCTATGTATAGTGCTCTCTAATTGCTAACTGATTTGTCATATGGTGTGTGTATGATGTATGTCCGGTAGGTATTTTCTTCTTTGGTTGCCGTAGATGTGGTATCGATGAATGCGTCTCTATTGTATTGTTTTTGACTGCTTGTTTGATATCAGAGTGTGTTCTTTACCTTTTGCCTGGTATGTTAGCCCCTTTTGATATTCTGTTGACCCTCGTTGATATTTGTTGCAGTATGATGCTGTATAAGTGGTTACTCTCTCTTGTATGGCAATTGCCTATGAGTGTGGTGTGTGCCCTCTGGTTTGTATGTGTGGTTTCATTGTTGTATGTATGAGTGTGTTTATATGGTTTTATGATTGTTGGCCTGTGATATGTATATCCCCCTTTGATTTCAGTTTTGTTGTGTATGGATAGGTGGCTTGACGTTGTAGATAGTGTATGTGATATGTATTGTGTTATCAAAAGGGTGCGTTGGTTGTCAAAGGTTGGAGTTGGGACTATGTAGATGGTGAATGATGAGATTGTTTATTTGAGATTGCCAATTTTCAGATTTAGGAGCCCTCCCCCTTTTCATTTGCTTCATGCCTTGTATTTATAGTTGAGTATGTGAAGCCTTGAAAGTCAGTGATATGCCATGACTTTTGCTTTCCTGGTTATTCTTTCCAACTGTCCCTAATTGCTACTATTGATGCTAATCTTAAATTTTGAAGTGTAACTGCCCTTTTTTTGGAATCCCTTGTATTTCTCAGCTGGTGTATATTCCAGATTGTGTTTAATAAGGCATAACTGTCTGATTTGCATTTTTTAGAGGCTTTTGGTTTGTTTAGCCCCCTCCCTTTTAATTATTCAACCACTCATTAAAAATTGCTCCTCATTGCTGATTATTGCCTCTTCAAATTATTTCTGCTTGTCAATGCTCTTTAAGCATAAGAAACTGAAAGGCTTTTGGTTAACTTCTCTGGCTGACTAATTTTATACTCTTGGCTGCTTGTAGTTCTCATACGAATCCTCAAGAAGAGTCTTGCCATATCACCATATGCAATGAAACTTAGTTCATCTAATGCTCCTCCAACAACATTCTGGAACCATATATTCTGCCACCATTGATGTCATTGATAATGTGTAAGTGTAGTATTGGAAAGAGGCAAGTGTGGTGGCTTGAAGCTCTTGAAGCATATAAGTTGTTCTACCTTTTGAATAAAACAATCATGAAAGTAGAGCCGAATAAGACTTTCTTTATCTGAATTTGTATACATTTTATTGGTACAAAGTCCAAACAGAATTCCCATATCTCAACTTAATGTTTAGTGAATTTCAGTTCATGTATTCCTATACTTTTTTCTCAATATGAGTGTATAGTAGCAATTAATATTCCATTTGAAAAAATGATGTATGATTCACTTGCTTTCTTGCACCCTCTCCTAATATATTTATGTGATCCAATGCAAGGAACAAACAAATTGCACTAACCAATAATACTTTGATCACAGGTAAAGAAGCAACATAAAACAGTTGTAGAAACCACATTATATCCTAATTTTCTAACAATCTCTTCTAATCGTACACACACAAAAATAAATTACATGTAACAAAATATATTGGAACAAAATTTTCATTCACATTCAGAATAACAAAGTAAAAGTACATATACATTGTGAAACATAAATTTTGTGTCGTGTTTACTATATATATAAAAAAAAACCTCAATAGATTGGTCTCCTTGTTTTAGCTTCGAAATTAGGCCGGACAAAATTGGGTGTTCACAGCTGCCCCTCTTTATTTGTTACTTACTTGATAGCAAGCAAACTGAAGTTTGTGTGTAATCGTAGTAAGTAACTAGTGAAGACATGAACATTAATTTTGTCAAGGCCGACACAATGAACATCCAGAGGTCAATCTGATAAAATAAATATGCGAGCACTCAATGGCTCGAGAAAAGCTAGTAAAACATATTTTGTGAGCTCTCAGTGGCTCAAGACAGAAAAATAAATTGTGAACTCTCAATGGCTTGAGACAGAAAAATAAATTTGCGAGATCTCAGTGGCTCGATGCGGAAAATAAATTTGCGAGCTCTTAGTGGCTCGATGCGGAAAATAAATTGCGAGCTCTCGGTGGCTCGATGCGGAAAATAAATTTGCGAGCTCTCGGTGGCTCGATGCGGAAATTAATTGCGAGCTCTCAGTGGCTCGATGCGGAAAATAAATTGCGAGCTCTCAGTGGCTCGATGCGGAAAATAAATTGCGAGCTCTCAGTGGCTCGATGCGGAAAATAAATTGCGAGCTCTCTGTGGCTCGATGCGGAAAATAAATTGCGAGCTCTCAGTGGCTCGATGCGGAAAATAAATTGCGAGCTCTCAGTGGCTCGATGCGGAAAATAAATTGCGAGCTCTCAGTGGCTCGATGCGGAAAATAAATTGCGAGCTCTCAGTGGCTCGATGCGGAAAATAAATTGCGAGCTCTCAGTGGCTCGATGCGGAAAATAAATTGCGAGCTCTCAGTGGCTCGATGCGGAAAATAAATTGCGAGCTCTCAGTGGCTCGATGCGGAAAATAAATTGCGAGCTCTCAGTGGCTCGATGCGGAAAATAAATTGCGAGCTCTCAGTGGCTCGATGCGGAAAATAAATTGCGAGCTCTCAGTGGCTCGATGCGGAAAATAATTTGCGAGCTCTCAGTGGCTCGATGCGGAAAATAATTTGCGAGCTTTCAGTGGCTCGATGCGGAAAATAAATTGCGAGCTCTCAGTGGCTCGATGCGGAAAATAAATTGCGAGCTCTCAGTGGCTCGATGCGTAAAATAAATTGCGAGGTCTCAGTGGCTCGAGATTCACATCAGGTTCGGGGTCTTGGAATGTTATAAAATCACATCAGGCTTGGGGTCCTGGAAAGATTGAAAAGCACGTCAGGCTCGGGGTCTTGGAAAGTTATAAAAACACGTCAAGCCCAGGGTCCTGGAAAGTTATAAAAGCACGTCAGGCCCAGGGTCCTGGAAAGTTATAAAAGCACGTCAGGCTCGGGGTCCTGGAAAGTTATATGCGAGCACTTAGTGGCTCAAAATTCACATCAGGCTCGGGGTCTTGGAAAGCAAATTATGTAGAGTAATGATTTGAATTCTTGAGAGCATGTTATGATATGGTCATGTTTTGAATGATGCATGCGATGTCATGTATGAGTAATGCATGTTTAGATGTTCTAGTTTGTGAGGTTGTGATTAAACAAATTGGTTTTATATGGACTCGACTGAAATGCGATCTATGTTGATCTTTGTTGAAAGGGACTATCATCCAGCACCTTACTATCCATTCTGCCCCAATGTCATGTTATGAGGTTATTGGAAGATTATGATCGTCTAATAAACTGCCCCAATATATTGTCAAGAATTTATTGGAAGAGTATGACTCCAATAAATTGCCCCAGTATCTTTGCCAATGATTTGGTGAGAATTTTTCCAAATGGATGTTGTGATTCTGACATCCAAAATTGCCCTAGTTTGCTCAATTGAGGATGAGCAACAATGAGTCTTCACTAGAGGGTGTTCATTTCTCTTCCCTAATTTTTGCCCAGAGTACCTAGTGTAGGTACCTGTCGGGAATTCTCTCTTTTTATTTTGATACTAAGTCGCCATTGAAGGTTTTCGGCTTAGCATTGCTCTCCTTTTCCTAGGTTGCCTTTGTGGGTTTTCAACCTAACACTCATTTTTTATTCTTTGTTTGTTTGTTTGTTTTTGTTTTTGAATTTTTTTTTGAACACCCTCAAATGTGACAGAGTTAAATGCATCGCATCATTGACCATCTTTCAGAGCCTGAAGGTGAGAATGCGATATCTTGTCTTTGCTTGGTTGAGAGATTTTGGACAGATCCGTGAGGAGTAACTTCAGTCTTGCCTCAGCTATGGGTTTCTTGGTACTTTTGATTCGCGAACTCAAATCATACCCCATAAATTGCCCCCGTTTGGACGGACACCCTTATCTTAATTTCCACTTGTCGTAAGCTTGTTTTCATGCGCGACTCTTTAAAAAAATACTGAAAACAATGATCATGCAAATTGGATTTGATTTTTTATGTGTTGATGTGGTAGAGATGGTGATGAATGGTTGAAATTATCCGATGCATTAAAAGTGAGATATTCTCATCAAAACTTAATGAAATTTGTTGGAGTCAGCGTTTCTCTGCCCCTGTGCATTGCTTAGGCAAATCGATTCCTCAACGAGGTCTTTTAAGCTTGTATCTTAGACTGGCTAAGAGTTACCAAGAAAAATGATATAGGCTCGAATAAGTTTTTCCCAAACCCAATTTCATTTCTCCTATCTCCATTGTCCTATTCTCAACAATTTTCTAGTCATGTCATTCAACTACTAAAATTTTGGATTTTTATGATGGAATGGGTGAAAGTCTAATATTTAGGCAATAATCTTCGCGAGAGGATTTCAAATTGTCCTTTTGGTGGTCATTGATAGTGCGTTTTCTTTTGCCCTGAATTTTGCCTGAGATTTTTATTTTGAAATCTCAGCGGGTCCTTTTTTTGCATGTTTTTTTTGTTTTTTTTTTTGCACTTTGACCGATAAACATTCTTATTGGACTTGATTTGGATTTTCAATCCTCGGGTTAGATATGGAAAATGATGTAGGTAGAGTGTATTTATTTTTATTTAATAATTGAATGTCAAGGAAAATAGTTGAGTAACTACCCTGTCCCAGGTTATTGATATTTTGTGGGTATTTCAAAGAAATCTCTTTTTCATAAATTCTACGGCTCAAATTGGGTGACTAGGGATATCTTCTTTGTGTTTGATATTTTCAAGAATGCCTTGTGTCATCAGAAAAAACTTGCTTAAGGACTTGCACTATTCTGGGTCTTACGTTTGCATCATCCTCCATTTCATATAAACTATTGAATCAAATATCCCATATTAATGCATGAATTAGTTTGTCTCGATTTTGTTTGTCTTTGGTGAATGAGGGTTGTGGAATGTAATATGTGATGTATAATTCGCATGATCAATGCAGTTAGTATGTAACCTTTAAAAAGATGTGCATGATAAAATAAACATTTATTCTTGATAAAATAAACACGGGTGCCCTATTATTTATGACTCTAAAGCCTTGGGGAGAGCAATAGGGTTGAATTACATCGCTTGGTTAACACCAGGATGATTACTCTGGGTAATTTAAGCATTTATCAAACCAAGACATTTCCCTGGAAGCGGATCGACCTTGAGTTAATCAGATATTGCACTTTGCTCTTCAACTGATCACAATCCTCTATGAAATGACCAATTGCCCCAGTATGATATTCACCACTAGCCTTCGGGTTGAATCCTTGTGGATATGGGGGGTCTACCTTCTTTGAGGAAATCGGAGTCAACAATGATCTTTGGAAAATTTGCGGCAACAATTCGGCATATGACATTGGGATTGGGTCATACAAACTCTTCCTTTTTCGCTTTCGGGACTGCCCTTTTCTTCCATTTGTAAAGGTATAACATGATGCATGTGGAAAATAAGGTGTCTGAGGTTGGCTAAGGATTTCTGTGAGTGAAGTTTCCTCTTTCATATCTTCGCTTGCAATATCACTTTGAATAATCTTGTTGGCACAGCTTTTCTTTATCTTTCCGCTCCCGAAGCGATTTTCAATTCTCTCTCCTATTCTTATCAACTGACGGAAATCTGAATGGACATTTCCAACCATCTGATCAAAGAAAGGTGTTTGTAGGGTATCGATAAACATTGAAACACTTTCCTCATCAGATAATTTGGGCTTCACTTGAGCGGCCAACCCTGCTCATCTTTGGACATACTCCCTGAAGGTCTCGTTACTCCTCTTGGACAACTGATTGAGTAGCGTTATATCAGGATCTTGATCTATATTATAGTTGTAATGTTTAAGGAAAGCGTTACACAAATCCTTGAAACATTTGATCTGGGGACGCTCGAGGCGCATGTACCAAGTGATGGCAGCTCCCGTAAGGCTCTCCTGGAAGACATGGATTAGCAAATTGTCATTCCCAATATATGGAGTCATTTTTCTGGCATACATGCTGCGGTGATCCTTAGGACAAGAAGTTCCTTGGTATTTCTCAAATTCTGGCATCTTGAACTTTGGTGGTAATACCACACTCAGGACCAAGCACAAGCTCGTGACGTCCTTCAAATCATAGGAACTTGCTTCCTTGATAACTTTAATTCTTTCTTCGATCGCCATAATTTTCTCCCAATCTTGAGGATTTGTAACATTGTTGGGAGCAGATGAATGGTTGGGATTACCATTGACAACTGGGGTCTCCATATATAGGAAAGATTGATGACCTCGTCCTGAAATTGGAATGCCACTCTGGGGACTAAGCTTGTTGTTTGTAGTCTCAGTTGCAGGCGAGTATTCTATGATGGCAAGATTTTTCCTCTTTCTGAAGTGGCTTCAATCGAGTCCTTTAAAACCAATTTAAAACACATGAGTGTAGAAAATGATTTATATTTTGGATGTCTGCACACAATTTCAAATAAGTGTTTTTGTTTGTTTTGGAAGGATGGTTTTAGACTAATTTTTTCATTGAGAAATGTTGGTATATTAAGACATTTCATCCCGCATTTGGTTACTATGAGGCATACCATAATAGTTTCTCCTGCGTTGATGACAATCTAAGAGGAAACACAAGGCCTCAGACCAAGATTGCATCTAGATCGTTTCTTAGCATTGCCCAATAAATATATTGTCCTGCATTTGGTGCCTTGGGAGCGTACTCCACAAGGTCGCCTGCAGTTGATGACAACTTCAGAGGAAACACAAGGTTTCAGACCTAGATTGCATCTATTATTTACAAGATGTTTTTTACTTTTTTCAAGTTAGTTTGGGTAGTAAGGTATTGTCATAATGCTAAGAACTGATGTATATATCTTTACCAAATTTCTCTCAGGAAAGGAATTTGATCATGAATTTTTTATTTATAGATGGTATGCATTGTGTATGAGATGAGATTTTTTATGCATGTGATGCATGAATGAAAGAAAAAGTCAAAACACCTTTATCTTTTTTCGCATGCATATGAAGTGCATGAATTTACTTATTTTTAATTTTTATGGTAATGCATGAAATGCATGGCATGTTATGCAAAGTTTGAATGATTTTTTTATGCACATGTAGATGAATGTATTATGATATATCCTTTTTTGTGTGGATAGATGAAGGTTTCATTTGATGAATTTTTTATTTTTTGAATGCATGTATGAATGTGTGAATGATATTTTTTATTTTTGATCATTTATATGATTTTTTATGAATGTTGGGATCAAGATTTTTTTTTGATGAATATTTGAATGATGTATGAATGATATGCATGAATATGATGCATAAATACATGAACATGATTCTTTTGTACGCCCGCAGGGCGTGATAGACCCTAATAATTTGGGGAATGTAGCCTTAATTTACAATATAGTAAAATGTCATGGTAGATTTGACACTTATTATACTGTTAAGGCAATCTTGGAGTTAAACGGTAAAATCCCGAGCTTATTGAGATATTGGAAAATTGATCCCTAGGGCGCTTAGCCTATGATAGGGAATGAAAATTATCCCAAGGGCGTGTAGCCCATAGTAGGGAATAGAAATTGTCCCTAGGGCGCTTAGCCCATGACAAGGAATGAAAATTATTTAGCCGTCCTCGTGCAACAAAGACATCAAAGTGCAATGTCATCCTTAAAACACTCAGGCATGAATATTTTTAAGAGGGACATAAGTCCCAAATTATGAATGATGATGGATAAAATTTAGGTTATGCTTCTCGTGTCCTAAACAAGGTGCACTTACAATGTTTTGGATAATCTAAAGGTCACAACCCTATGGTGAGGTACTAGATGTCAATTAAAGTGAACTCGATAAAAGAAAATTTTAGACTTCTACGTTACCAGATTGCATCCAATCCCTAAAGAAAGGAAACCCAAAATATTGCAAGTTATAAACAGGAGAAGTCTAGCCCCTCAAGCGTATAACTCGCAATATTTGGTAACAATCTGGGTGGTCCATCATGCTAATGCCAATGAGATAAAATCTAACACCAGGCAGAGCGGATGTCCCCCTTATTACAAACTTACTCTCTAACACCCGGGTCTAGGGCATATGTGTGTGCAAAACTCAAGTGTGCAATGTTAGTGTGTGAGGAAGCGTACAAACCTTCTCTTACAAATAAAATAAACCCATACCCCAAAAACTATAATACAACAATTACCAAAGATAAGTGAATAAAGAAATATAATAAATAATAATTTCTTAACATAAACAATAAGAAAAGAAAGAAAGAAAACAAAAGGGTATTAAATCCATATAATTAGCGGCTCTGGGCCTGACCCTCTTACGGGTATCCCCAGCGGAGTCGCCAGCTGTCGCGACCCGATTTTCGGTTGGAAGACCGGCCCTGCGACTTTGGGAGAGGCGAACTCGATTTCTACCTCTTCCAATTGATTTGGAGTCGCCACTACGTTTTTTGCGGTTAAAACGTAGAAAACTCTAAACATGCCCGATTAAGATAATTTGGTCTTTAATCAGAGATTCTGAACTCGGGAGTCGATTACGGATCGGGGAAGGTATTAGCATCCTGTCCGCCCGTATTAAAACGGTACCCTCGCTAATAACATGGACTTTTATACCCTTAAAATTATTTATTAAAATTCAGTAAATAAAAACAAAATGTTTTATTTTTTATTGTTGTGCCTGACAAGAATTCAACTTGCTCCTACGTATCCCTAGCTGCAATAGGGAAATCAAGGCTACGTAGTTCTGGTTTGAAAATTAATTGGTGTTGGTTTAGTTTGTTTGAAAAGTTGATGTAAATTGTATTCTCTTTAAGAAAAGATGAAGCAGCAGAAACTAATGTCCGCACCATATCAAATCTTTAAAGAGATTTTGAAAGTAATTAAACTACTGTGTTGAAATTTATTTATCTTTAAGATATATATTATTTTTGAAATAATTGAAATGAGTTGTTTGAAATTTATTTATTTTTAAGATAGATGAAGTAGCAAGACTAATGCCCGCGCCGCATCAAATCTCAAGGAATATTTTGAAGTGGTTTAAAATATATTATTGAAATTTATTCACCTTTAAGATAGATGAAGTAGCAAGACTAATGCCCGCGCCGCATCATATCTTAAAGAGATTTGAAATAGTTTTAAAATATATTATTGAAATTATTCACCTTTAAGATAGATGAAGTAGCAAGACTAATGCCCGCGCCGCATCATATCTTAAAGAGATTTGAAATAGTTTTAAAATATATTATTGAAATTTATTCACCTTTAAGATAGATGAAGTAGCAAGACTAATGTCCGCGCCGCATCATATCTTAAAGAGATTTTGAAATAGTTTTAGAATATATTATTGAAATTATTCACCTTTAAGATAGATGAAGTAGCAAGACTAATGCCCGCGCCGCATCATATCTTAAAGAGATTTGAAATAGTTTTAAAATATATTATTGAAATTTATTCACCTTTAAGATAGATGAAGTAGCAAGACTAATGTCCGCGCCGCATCATATCTTAAAGAGATTTTGAAATAGTTTTAGAATATATCGTTGAAATTTATTCATTTTTAAGATAGATGAAGCAGCAAGAACTAATGCCCGCACCGCATCAAATCTTAAAGATATTTTGAAATAGTTTTAGAATATATCGTTGAAATTTATTCATCTTTAAGATAGATGAAGCAGCAAGAACTAATGCCCGCACCGCATCAAGTCTTAAAGAGATTTTGAAATAGTTTTAGAATATATCGTTGAAATTTATTCATCTTTAAGATAGATGAAACAGCAAGAACTAATGGCCGCACCGCATCAAATCTTAAAGAGATTTTGAAATGGTTTTAGAATATATCGTTGAAATTTATTAATCTTTAATATAGATGAAGCAGCAAGAACTAATGCCCGCACCGCATCAAATCTTAAAGAGATTTTGAAATAATTTGAAATATAATTGAAATTTTTATCAGGTACATTTTATTAAAACAAATATTAATGTAAAAAATGTTAGAATAACAATACCCAAATATGAAATAAAAATTACTATAACATAAAACAAAAGGTAAAAGTTAAATAAAAAAAGAAAGAAAAGCAAAGGGAAGGGGAATACTTAAGTGGTCATCCTTGTTGACCCTAGAGAAATAGAAATGAGAATTGAAGTCCTTAAAGGCATCACCATCTCTTCATTTTCTTCAAATCTCAGGCAACATCAACTCAATCCGGCGAAACCACGATTTCAGCGGCGGTTTGCGGTGGTTCTTGACTGAGAACGCTCCCAACAGCATGGGATCCTCATCCCGGCGCAGTGTACCAAAAGGGAATCAAATCCCTAAATTATCTCCTTCATCCTCTTCTTTTCCGGCAGCGGCGGCAACAAAAGGGACGACGGCAAGTCACTGGTAATCCGGCGGCTACATCTCTTCTCCTCTATCTCGTTTCTCCTTAGCGACGGTGGTGCTCTCTCTGGTGACGGTTTCGGTAGCGACGACAACGCCAGGCAGTAGCGGAGGTTGTGACGAAAGGCAGCGACGACGACTAGGAAAGCCACTAATGGCGATGATGGCGAGTTATCTTTCTCCAATTATGTTATGCGACCCTTGATGCGGTGATTTCCAACCTGAATTGAATCTAAACCGTGAAGGTGGAAGGAAGCTACCCCAATCGAACTCGCTCGGCAAGAACCACCCATTGTAATGGTAGTTCGAAAGGTATGTTACCACCCCTTTTCGTTTACCCTCCTTTATTTTGACATCTCTATGTATAGTGCTCTCTAATTGCTAACTGATTTGTCATATGGTGTGTGTATGATGTATGTCCGGTAGGTATTTTCTTCTTTGGTTGCCGTAGATGTGGTATCGATGAATGCGTCTCTATTGTATTGTTTTTGACTGCTTGTTTGATATCAGAGTGTGTTCTTTACCTTTTGCCTGGTATGTTAGCCCCTTTTGATATTCTGTTGACCCTCGTTGATATTTGTTGCAGTATGATGCTGTATAAGTGGTTACTCTCTCTTGTATGGCAATTGCCTATGAGTGTGGTGTGTGCCCTCTGGTTTGTATGTGTGGTTTCATTGTTGTATGTATGAGTGTGTTTATATGGTTTTATGATTGTTGGCCTGTGATATGTATATCCCCCTTTGATTTCAGTTTTGTTGTGTATGGATAGGTGGCTTGACGTTGTAGATAGTGTATGTGATATGTATTGTGTTATCAAAAGGGTGCGTTGGTTGTCAAAGGTTGGAGTTGGGACTATGTAGATGGTGAATGATGAGATTGTTTATTTGAGATTGCCAATTTTCAGATTTAGGAGCCCTCCCCCTTTTCATTTGCTTCATGCCTTGTATTTATAGTTGAGTATGTGAAGCCTTGAAAGTCAGTGATATGCCATGACTTTTGCTTTCCTGGTTATTCTTTCCAACTGTCCCTAATTGCTACTATTGATGCTAATCTTAAATTTTGAAGTGTAACTGCCCTTTTTTTGGAATCCCTTGTATTTCTCAGCTGGTGTATATTCCAGATTGTGTTTAATAAGGCATAACTGTCTGATTTGCATTTTTTAGAGGCTTTTGGTTTGTTTAGCCCCCTCCCTTTTAATTATTCAACCACTCATTAAAAATTGCTCCTCATTGCTGATTATTGCCTCTTCAAATTATTTCTGCTTGTCAATGCTCTTTAAGCATAAGAAACTGAAAGGCTTTTGGTTAACTTCTCTGGCTGACTAATTTTATACTCTTGGCTGCTTGTAGTTCTCATACGAATCCTCAAGAAGAGTCTTGCCATATCACCATATGCAATGAAACTTAGTTCATCTAATGCTCCTCCAACAACATTCTGGAACCATATATTCTGCCACCATTGATGTCATTGATAATGTGTAAGTGTAGTATTGGAAAGAGGCAAGTGTGGTGGCTTGAAGCTCTTGAAGCATATAAGTTGTTCTACCTTTTGAATAAAACAATCATGAAAGTAGAGCCGAATAAGACTTTCTTTATCTGAATTTGTATACATTTTATTGGTACAAAGTCCAAACAGAATTCCCATATCTCAACTTAATGTTTAGTGAATTTCAGTTCATGTATTCCTATACTTTTTTCTCAATATGAGTGTATAGTAGCAATTAATATTCCATTTGAAAAAATGATGTATGATTCACTTGCTTTCTTGCACCCTCTCCTAATATATTTATGTGATCCAATGCAAGGAACAAACAAATTGCACTAACCAATAATACTTTGATCACAGGTAAAGAAGCAACATAAAACAGTTGTAGAAACCACATTATATCCTAATTTTCTAACAATCTCTTCTAATCGTACACACACAAAAATAAATTACATGTAACAAAATATATTGGAACAAAATTTTCATTCACATTCAGAATAACAAAGTAAAAGTACATATACATTGTGAAACATAAATTTTGTGTCGTGTTTACTATATATATAAAAAAAAACCTCAATAGATTGGTCTCCTTGTTTTAGCTTCGAAATTAGGCCGGACAAAATTGGGTGTTCACAGCTGCCCCTCTTTATTTGTTACTTACTTGATAGCAAGCAAACTGAAGTTTGTGTGTAATCGTAGTAAGTAACTAGTGAAGACATGAACATTAATTTTGTCAAGGCCGACACAATGAACATCCAGAGGTCAATCTGATAAAATAAATATGCGAGCACTCAATGGCTCGAGAAAAGCTAGTAAAACATATTTTGTGAGCTCTCAGTGGCTCAAGACAGAAAAATAAATTGTGAACTCTCAATGGCTTGAGACAGAAAAATAAATTTGCGAGATCTCAGTGGCTCGATGCGGAAAATAAATTTGCGAGCTCTTAGTGGCTCGATGCGGAAAATAAATTGCGAGCTCTCGGTGGCTCGATGCGGAAAATAAATTTGCGAGCTCTCGGTGGCTCGATGCGGAAATTAATTGCGAGCTCTCAGTGGCTCGATGCGGAAAATAAATTGCGAGCTCTCAGTGGCTCGATGCGGAAAATAAATTGTGAGCTCTCAGTGGCTCGATGCGGAAAATAAATTGCGAGCTCTCTGTGGCTCGATGCGGAAAATAAATTGCGAGCTCTCAGTGGCTCGATGCGGAAAATAAATTGCGAGCTCTCAGTGGCTCGATGCGGAAAATAAATTGCGAGCTCTCAGTGGCTCGATGCGGAAAATAAATTGCGAGCTCTCAGTGGCTCGATGCGGAAAATAAATTGCGAGCTCTCAGTGGCTCGATGCGGAAAATAAATTGCGAGCTCTCAGTGGCTCGATGCGGAAAATAAATTGCGAGCTCTCAGTGGCTCGATGCGGAAAATAATTTGCGAGCTCTCAGTGGCTCGATGCGGAAAATAATTTGCGAGCTTTCAGTGGCTCGATGCGGAAAATAAATTGCGAGCTCTCAGTGGCTCGATGCGGAAAATAAATTGCGAGCTCTCAGTGGCTCGATGCGTAAAATAAATTGCGAGGTCTCAGTGGCTCGAGATTCACATCAGGTTCGGGGTCTTGGAATGTTATAAAATCACATCAGGCTTGGGGTCCTGGAAAGATTGAAAAGCACGTCAGGCTCGGGGTCTTGGAAAGTTATAAAAACACGTCAAGCCCAGGGTCCTGGAAAGTTATAAAAGCACGTCAGGCCCAGGGTCCTGGAAAGTTATAAAAGCACGTCAGGCTCGGGGTCCTGGAAAGTTATATGCGAGCACTTAGTGGCTCAAAATTCACATCAGGCTCGGGGTCTTGGAAAGCAAATTATGTAGAGTAATGATTTGAATTCTTGAGAGCATGTTATGATATGGTCATGTTTTGAATGATGCATGCGATGTCATGTATGAGTAATGCATGTTTAGATGTTCTAGTTTGTGAGGTTGTGATTAAACAAATTGGTTTTATATGGACTCGACTGAAATGCGATCTATGTTGATCTTTGTTGAAAGGGACTATCATCCAGCACCTTACTATCCATTCTGCCCCAATGTCATGTTATGAGGTTATTGGAAGATTATGATCGTCTAATAAACTGCCCCAATATATTGTCAAGAATTTATTGGAAGAGTATGACTCCAATAAATTGCCCCAGTATCTTTGCCAATGATTTGGTGAGAATTTTTCCAAATGGATGTTGTGATTCTGACATCCAAAATTGCCCTAGTTTGCTCAATTGAGGATGAGCAACAATGAGTCTTCACTAGAGGGTGTTCATTTCTCTTCCCTAATTTTTGCCCAGAGTACCTAGTGTAGGTACCTGTCGGGAATTCTCTCTTTTTATTTTGATACTAAGTCGCCATTGAAGGTTTTCGGCTTAGCATTGCTCTCCTTTTCCTAGGTTGCCTTTGTGGGTTTTCAACCTAACACTCATTTTTTATTCTTTGTTTGTTTGTTTGTTTTTGTTTTTGAATTTTTTTTTGAACACCCTCAAATGTGACAGAGTTAAATGCATCGCATCATTGACCATCTTTCAGAGCCTGAAGGTGAGAATGCGATATCTTGTCTTTGCTTGGTTGAGAGATTTTGGACAGATCCGTGAGGAGTAACTTCAGTCTTGCCTCAGCTATGGGTTTCTTGGTACTTTTGATTCGCGAACTCAAATCATACCCCATAAATTGCCCCCGTTTGGACGGACACCCTTATCTTAATTTCCACTTGTCGTAAGCTTGTTTTCATGCGCGACTCTTTAAAAAAATACTGAAAACAATGATCATGCAAATTGGATTTGATTTTTTATGTGTTGATGTGGTAGAGATGGTGATGAATGGTTGAAATTATCCGATGCATTAAAAGTGAGATATTCTCATCAAAACTTAATGAAATTTGTTGGAGTCAGCGTTTCTCTGCCCCTGTGCATTGCTTAGGCAAATCGATTCCTCAACGAGGTCTTTTAAGCTTGTATCTTAGACTGGCTAAGAGTTACCAAGAAAAATGATATAGGCTCGAATAAGTTTTTCCCAAACCCAATTTCATTTCTCCTATCTCCATTGTCCTATTCTCAACAATTTTCTAGTCATGTCATTCAACTACTAAAATTTTGGATTTTTATGATGGAATGGGTGAAAGTCTAATATTTAGGCAATAATCTTCGCGAGAGGATTTCAAATTGTCCTTTTGGTGGTCATTGATAGTGCGTTTTCTTTTGCCCTGAATTTTGCCTGAGATTTTTATTTTGAAATCTCAGCGGGTCCTTTTTTTGCATGTTTTTTTTGTTTTTTTTTTTGCACTTTGACCGATAAACATTCTTATTGGACTTGATTTGGATTTTCAATCCTCGGGTTAGATATGGAAAATGATGTAGGTAGAGTGTATTTATTTTTATTTAATAATTGAATGTCAAGGAAAATAGTTGAGTAACTACCCTGTCCCAGGTTATTGATATTTTGTGGGTATTTCAAAGAAATCTCTTTTTCATAAATTCTACGGCTCAAATTGGGTGACTAGGGATATCTTCTTTGTGTTTGATATTTTCAAGAATGCCTTGTGTCATCAGAAAAAACTTGCTTAAGGACTTGCACTATTCTGGGTCTTACGTTTGCATCATCCTCCATTTCATATAAACTATTGAATCAAATATCCCATATTAATGCATGAATTAGTTTGTCTCGATTTTGTTTGTCTTTGGTGAATGAGGGTTGTGGAATGTAATATGTGATGTATAATTCGCATGATCAATGCAGTTAGTATGTAACCTTTAAAAAGATGTGCATGATAAAATAAACATTTATTCTTGATAAAATAAACACGGGTGCCCTATTATTTATGACTCTAAAGCCTTGGGGAGAGCAATAGGGTTGAATTACATCGCTTGGTTAACACCAGGATGATTACTCTGGGTAATTTAAGCATTTATCAAACCAAGACATTTCCCTGGAAGCGGATCGACCTTGAGTTAATCAGATATTGCACTTTGCTCTTCAACTGATCACAATCCTCTATGAAATGACCAATTGCCCCAGTATGATATTCACCACTAGCCTTCGGGTTGAATCCTTGTGGATATGGGGGGTCTACCTTCTTTGAGGAAATCGGAGTCAACAATGATCTTTGGAAAATTTGCGGCAACAATTCGGCATATGACATTGGGATTGGGTCATACAAACTCTTCCTTTTTCGCTTTCGGGACTGCCCTTTTCTTCCATTTGTAAAGGTATAACATGATGCATGTGGAAAATAAGGTGTCTGAGGTTGGCTAAGGATTTCTGTGAGTGAAGTTTCCTCTTTCATATCTTCGCTTGCAATATCACTTTGAATAATCTTGTTGGCACAGCTTTTCTTTATCTTTCCGCTCCCGAAGCGATTTTCAATTCTCTCTCCTATTCTTATCAACTGACGGAAATCTGAATGGACATTTCCAACCATCTGATCAAAGAAAGGTGTTTGTAGGGTATCGATAAACATTGAAACACTTTCCTCATCAGATAATTTGGGCTTCACTTGAGCGGCCAACCCTGCTCATCTTTGGACATACTCCCTGAAGGTCTCGTTACTCCTCTTGGACAACTGATTGAGTAGCGTTATATCAGGATCTTGATCTATATTATAGTTGTAATGTTTAAGGAAAGCGTTACACAAATCCTTGAAACATTTGATCTGGGGACGCTCGAGGCGCATGTACCAAGTGATGGCAGCTCCCGTAAGGCTCTCCTGGAAGACATGGATTAGCAAATTGTCATTCCCAATATATGGAGTCATTTTTCTGGCATACATGCTGCGGTGATCCTTAGGACAAGAAGTTCCTTGGTATTTCTCAAATTCTGGCATCTTGAACTTTGGTGGTAATACCACACTCAGGACCAAGCACAAGCTCGTGACGTCCTTCAAATCAT